TCGCTTTTTTGACTGCCGCTGCATGTTGAGTGGATGTTTTCAGAGAATTATCCACAGTGACTCTTTCTTGAGTGGTAACAGCTAATTTAGACCCCATCATTTTATGTGTATAGTTGAGATTATATTTTCCAATGTGCATTTATCAACACTGAATTACATCTGCCATTTTGTTGCCCAACCACCCAGTTTTGAGAGATCCTTTTGTAGCTCTTAACAGTCTTCCCGGGACTTAACTATCTTGAGTGTTGTATCATCTGCAAATTTTGCCATGTCACTGTTTATCCCTTTTTCCAGATCATTTATGAATATGTTGAATAGGACTGATCCCAGTACAGACCCCTGGGGACACCACTATTTACCGCTCTCCATTCTGAAAACTGACCATTTATTCCTACCCTTTGTTTCCTGTCTTTTAACCAGTTACCAATCCATGAGAGAACCTTCCCTCTTATCCCATGACTGCTTACTTTGCTTAAGAGCCTTTGGTGAGGGACCTTGTCAAAGGCTTCCTGAAAATCTAAATACACTATATCCACTGGATCCCCCTTGTCCACAAGCTTGTTGACCCCCTCAAAGAATTTTAGTAGATTGGTGAGGCATGACTTCCCTTTAGAAAAACCACCTTGACTATTCCCTAACAAATTATGTTCATCTGTGTATCTGACAATTTTGTTCTTTACCATAGTTTCAAACAGTTTACCCTGTACCGAAGTCAGGCTTACCGGCCTGTAATCGCCGGCATCACCTCTGGAGCCCTTTTTAAAAATTGGCATCACATTAGCTATCCTCCAGTCTTTTGGTAGAGAAGTTGAGACCCCACAAGAAGAGAGACCCCACAAGTGACAGAAATGAAAATCCTATGTTAATGGGGAAAATTCTCATTAAAATCATAGAAGATTAGGGTTGGAAGAGACCACAGGAGGTCATCTAGTCCAACCCCCTGCTCAAAGCAGGACCAACACCAACTAATTCATCCCAGCCAGGGCTTTGTCAAGCTGGGCCTTAAAAACCTCTAAGGATGGAGATTCCACCACCTCCCTGGGTAACCCATTCCAGTGCTTCACCACCCTCCTAGTGAAATAGTGTTTCCTAATATCCAACCTAGACCTCCCCCACTGCAACTTGAGACCATTGCTTCTTGTTCTGTCATCTGCCGCCATTGAGAACAGCCAAGTTCCATCCTCTTTGGAATCTCCCTTCAGGTAATTGTAGGCTATCAGGTCTCCCCTCACTCTTCTCTTCTGCAGACTAAACAAGCCCAGTTCCCTCAGCCTCTCCTCGTAAGTCATGTGTCCCAGCCCCCTGATCATTTTCATTGCCCTCTGCTGGACACTCTCCAATTTGTCTACATCCTTCCTGTAGTCGGGGGCCCAAAACTGGACACAGTACTACAGATGTGGCCTCACCAGTGCCGAATAGAGGGGAATAATCATTATTATTTTTCCTCAATCTGCTAGCAATGCTCCTCCTAATGCAGCCCAATATGCTGTTAGCCTTCTTGGCAACAAGGGCACACTGCTGACTCATATCCAGCTTCTCATCCACTGTAATCTCCAGGTCCTTTTGTGCAGAACTGCTGCTTAGCCAGTCAGTGCATGGGATTCTTCCGTCCTAAGTGCAGGACTCTGTACTTGTCCTTGTTGAATCTCATCAGATTTCTTTTGGCCCAATCCTCCAATTTGTCTAGGTCACTCTGGACCCTATCCCTACCCTCCAGCATATCTACCTCTCCCCCCAGCTTAGTGTCATCTGCAATCTTGCTGAAGGTGCAATCCATTCCATCATCCAGATTATTAATAAAGATGTTGAACAAAACCGGCCCCAGGACCGATCCCTGGGGTAGTCCACTTGATACCGGCTGCCAACTAGACATTGAGCCGTTGATCACTACCCATTGAGCCCGACAATCTAGTCAGCTTTCTATCCACTTTATAGTCCATTCATCCAATCCATACTTTTTTCACTTGCTGGCAAGAAAACTGTGGGAGACCGTATCAAAAGATTTGCTAAAGATATATCATGTCCACTGCTTTCCCCATATTCACAGAGCCAGTTATCTCATCATAGAAAGCAATCAGGACTATATGGGCAAGCATGACTTGCCCTTGATGAATCCATGTTGACAGTTCCTGAACACCTTCCTCTCCTCCAAGTGCTTCAAAATGGTTTCCTTGAGGACCTGCTCCGTGATTTTTCCAGGGACTGAGATGAGTCTGACCGGTCTGTAGTTCCCTGGATTCTCCTTCTTCCCTTTTTTAAAGATGGGCACTATATTTGCCGTTTTCCAATCATCCAGTACCTCCCCCGATCGCCACAAGTTTTCAAGGATAATGGCCAATGGCTCTGCAATCACATCAGCACCCTCAGATGTATTCCCATCCTTTGGATGCATTCCAACCCTCGGATGCATTCCCTCCCAATTCTCTCAGCACCCTTGGATGCATCATTCCCGTACCTTTCAGTCTGCTCCTCTAAACATGGGCTCTCTCTCCTCCCTTTCCCAGTACTTTTAACAAGCAGTTTGGGATTGAGGCACAGTGAGTTTCACACTGGCCTAGCAAGTTTTCACCTATGACATCACCCTTTTAGGTCATCAATTTTCTTCATAATTTAGTCTCTACCTTCCAGCCTAGCCAAACCTGTGTCACATTCCTGCTTGTTGCCAGGTGATGATGGCAGTAGGTGTATAAACTCTTCTCACATTGGGTTGAGTGTGTGGGCTCTTTTAGCTAGTGTGTGGGAGGGGAACATCCTACAGTGACTCCTGAATTTGAATCTCTGGCTTCACAATGCTTAATGTCACCACTCTAGACTGTGCAGTGGGCATATCCAGTTATATTTGTTTTGGTCTTCCCTGATGTAATATAGGTGATGTATCCCTTTTCTTACTTGCATCATCAGTACGAAATGCTTTGCCATTCACAGGGACCTGAAATGGTGTCAGTGCATCTCAATTAATTTCTCGGGGGGAGAGAGGTTGTTTTGTTTTTTGTTTGTTTTTTTTATAGTGCACACCCTATTAAAATCACATTACAGAATAAAAAGTGCATAACTGTTGTTTACCAAAGCTGTTCCTCTCACAATGACTCATTAAAGAAGGTGTTTTTGTTTCATGAGACAAAGGTTCCATATAAATGTAATAATGGAATAGAGCTATTCCCACAGAGCAGCTTTCTAGTCCATTTCTACTTTAACCTGTATGCCATAGTGTCTTAATTGACTTTTACCTAGCCCCGGTCTTAAGCATAAGCAAAGCAACTTCTGAACTAACCCTTATTCCTGTCTAGCAGTGGGGAAACAACTCACTGTGAGTTTCCAGCAGAGGGGAGGCAAATTATGGCCTCATTAGTCCCTTCCAACAGTTTGTGCCCAAGATTTGATTGGCCTCTTGCACATCCACAAGCTGGCCCTGATTATATCTTTGTCATTCTTCATCCAGATATGCATATTGTATTTTTTGGTTTGGCTTGGAACACTGAAAATGTTTGTGAGGTGGGTCTGTCAATCAGTTTCCTGGTGAATTCTTCTACAAGGTATCCTGCTGTGGGTCTTTGGCTTCCCTTGGATGCCTAGGTGAAATATTGTTGAACAGGGATATACTGGGCTGATGAAAACAGTAGTCATCTATGTTTCATGTTTGCCATCCCTATGCTCTTTTAAATGGAATTATAACCTTTGTAGGTATTATAAATAGGCTGGTTTGCAGCCCCATGTTTTGTATCAATGCTGGAACTTATCTTGGCAAGGGTGCGAGGGTACCACTCTTTCAAGCACGCTTGCAGAATCTAGCTATACTATATCCAGGAGATCGTTTAACCACCTTCATTCTCCTCTATTAAATCCCCATCCTCTTCCATGTATAGTTCATAGCTACATTGTGGCATCAGATTCTGTGGCTGGAAAGGCTGCCACTGACTGTCCTCTCTTGTGACACTGCATTTAGACTAGCCACCAGAACTGTCCTTAATGGCTCTGCATCCTACTTCCTGACCTTCACTAGAGACTTATGCCAACCTTCTGAAAGTTGGATGACTGAAGTTGTGCACATGATGTTGGGCAGATTGTTTTCTGAGATGCTGAACAGTCACATCTCCTGCTTAAGCCAGGAGGAGGTGCACATACTCAGCGCTTCTGAAAATTAGGCCATGTAATGAAGGTATCTAAATATGTTTTTAGTGCCTAACTTGCAGCCCTGAAGTTTCACAGTTTTCCATTGAACGTACACCTATTCTTTGTCAAGCCTGAGGTTGATGAGCTCTGCATGCAGTCACATGCTGTAATAACTGCAAGACCAAGAGGCGGATTTTAAGTCAGACTTGTTCTCCACAACTGTTGTCCTTCGTTCCCAGCTCCATTCATACTTTGAAGGTGCCACTGATCTAGCATCAGAGGGGTAGCCGTGTTAGTCTGGATCTGTTTAAAAAAAAAAAAGGCAACAGAGAGTCCTGTGGCACGTAATGGAAATTTCCAGAGGTTAGGTCCTGTGATGGTGTTGCTGGTGTAGATATGTGGGCAGAGTTGGCATTGAGGTTTGTTGCATGGATCGGTTCCTGAGTTAGAGTTGTTATGGTGCGGACACCATCAGATCAAGATTAAACAAAGACTGTGAATGGCTGCCAACTACAAAAGCAGTTTCTCCTCCCTTGGTGTTCACACCTCAGCTGCTAGCAGAGGACCTCACCCTCCCTAATTGAACTAACCTCGTTATCTCCAGACTGATTCTTGCCTGCATATTTATACTTGCCTCTGGAAATTTCCATTACATGCGTCTGACAAAGTGGGTATTCACCCACAAAAGCTTATGCTCCAATACTGTTAGTCTTAAAGGTGCCACAGGACTCTCTGTTGCTTTTTACTGATCTAGCAAGCAGTGATTATGTATCCTAACATCTGTGAGATGCTTTTCCATAACAAACTCACCCCAACTCTACACAGCTGACAGAGAACTCTAAGCAGCTCTCTGAGTCAAAAGTTCCTGATTCTTTCCTCCTTCTCAACAGAGACCCCCCAACTAAACCCTGTGATTGAGCCTCTGTCCTGGATGCTGGGCACCTGGCTGTCAGACCCACCGGGAGATGGTGACTTCCCTATGATGAAGCCCTTTCAGTACCTGGAAGAGGTGCGCATCTCTCACGTGGGGCAGCCCATGCTGAACTTTTCGTAAGTCTAAAACTTAGTTTGTCATGGCAATACCTTTGAATGGAGTGTGCATAAACCCCAACAGGTTTACTGGCTGCACATAAAAAAAAAGTGGTATAGTAAAAATATTCACCCATCAGATGAGAGGATATGATGGGATCTGACTGGGTGGCCCGATTTTTAGAGGTGCTGTGCAGTAACAGCTCCATTGCAACATATGCCTGGGTTAGACACCTAAATCTGGCAATTGCTGTTCTTGATTAAACATTCATCTGCATTTCTGTTCACTTAAACGTTTACAAATCACTACACACCTCAATGGAAATGCAGAAATAAGTGGGCAGGCAGGGAGCATGACAATAATTTTAAGTGTGCACATGCTAGTGACCTGTTGCCAAAGGACCACAAGCAGTTAATAGAGCACATCCATGTGGTCCACAAAGTGCAAAGTTTTGAGAGCCAAGCAGCAGAGGACTTGGGAGGTTGGGCAAGAGAGTGGTTCCATGAGAGAGATTTATTTCAGAGTGGTCCAAAGAATCATTATATTTTGAATATCAGTAGGTTTTTAACTTTCTAGACACTTAAACTTGGTGTGTGTGTGTACGTGTACGTGTACATATGTAGCCACAAATTTACACTGGCCTAAGGCACGAGACAGACAATATTGTTAATGCTGAGATAGGCACTTTAATAAGATTATCCCTAGAGCTACTTGCTCTGCTTCACTGTAGAGCTTGTGCTATAAATTTTAACAAACAGTCCATGTGTCCTCACACAAGCAGCTATGAAGAGGCTGCTAGATCTGTCCATTTAAATCCTGGCAATTTGTCTATATTGTAGATAATGAAAAAAAGTAGAGTGATTAAATGAAGTGTTTAGTAGGGCATATAGGGTAAAGAGCTAATTATTTAGCCATTTTGGACATGTAGGTTTAAGAAATTGTGTGCAAGGAAAAAAGATTTGGAGGAAGATAGATCTTTTAGCTAACATTTCAGTATTCATGTTAGTAAAAATAAGCTTTTTGCCTGCTTATTTTTGGGTGTGGATTACAAAGGTTATTGCTCTGACTGCAGGAGAAAGGAATAATTACAAGCTCTTAACATGGTGCAAAAGACGACACACACACCTAGACTACGTGCAGTTTTTGTACTAATATAAATATGTTGGTTGAGGGTGATTTTTTTTTAACCAATATGATTTTACTGGTATAACCCCTAATGTGGATTCAGTTATACATGCAGTTATGCCCCTTACATGTATAGCTTTATTGCCCTTCCCATCCAGGAATAAGATATACTGGTAGAAGAACATTCATACTAGTAAAACTGCATTCCATTAGGAAAATTGTACCTCTTTAACTATACCGGTATAGTTAATGCAGTACAACTTTTGTGTCTAGATAAGGCCAAACAGGCGAAGTAACATGTTCATAAACAAAGGAGATTGTTGATCAGAGTGCAACTGCAAACACACAAAACTTTCCACAGTAGGGAATTCCTGGAGCAGAATTAGCAAGAATTAGCTCAGAGGAAACCCCACCGCCCCCATTTCATTTATACAAATGAGGGGTTGGAAATGCCATCTAGTGACATGGGAAATAGGAAAGAAGTAGAAAAAGTATGCTTGGCTAGTCTGACAGTATTTAATTAATAATCAAAAGTGCAGGCAGACCCAGTGGTGTTACACACAAGACCCAGAGTAGGACTGATCAGAATACATAATTGCGGGGGCTGATGGAGACTACATATGTCTCCAAGTTGGTGTATTTGTGCTTTGTGGGGAAGAGCAATGATTTAATGGCTCTTGTAGCCAGCCTTTCAAACTGGAAGATAGATGGTATAAGATCAGATATTTAATTGAGTAAGGAGGAGTATATAGGGTAAATGGTGGCCCCCAATCAATGAAAGGGCAGAATTCCCAAGGATCCCTCTCAGCAAGTTCTTGTATTGAGACAGATGAGCTGTGGAAAATTCCAAGCATGAGCATGAAAAGCAAAGTATCTCCGTAAATATTAGCTAGGCATAACATGATATATCTTATACAGGTTTAGAATTTCCACTGCTGAAATGCTGCCTTACTGCTGTGCCAACCATCGGTGCATCCATAGTGTGGAGACATTTTTTGTATTCTTCTATTCATAATGTAGGTACTGCTGGTGACCATACCATTGAATAAAGTATCATTCTCTTGGTGATGAGACTGGGCTGAATACCTTGCATTTTGCTACTCTTCCATAGTAGAAATCTGGTAGTTTTAGTATCCTGATTTCCCAACAGGTTTAATGCTTTCCATCCAGACACCAGGAAGCCAATGCACAGAGAATGTGGATTCATCCGCCTCAAACCTGACACTAACAAGGTGGCCTTCATCAGTGCCCAGAACACAGGTACTTGGCCCGATACCCTACCAGTTTGCACTATTGCTTTAAATTTGGGTTCTGTGGGGGAGGGAAGAAGGGCCAGCAGTCTCCTACATCCATGCTTCAGAACATTATTGGACCTGTATGAGGTTTTCATTATAATCTGTTTTAATTGATAATCCAGCACCAGGAAGCAGTACTTCTACCTCTGGTATGAATGAGCTCCTGCACTGTGAAACCTGTTGTGAGTGACGAGTTGCCAGTGACTCATGTAGTGCTTTGGGAGAAGAACTAGGCCCCGGTTTTCTCCAAGGGCATCACAGGACTCTAAACTAGGATACCATTCCAGTCATATGCTAGGTTAGGGGGTGTCCTCTTTTTGAATAGAACAATAAGTTGGATGGGGATGAAGCTCCCCAAAATACCTTCCAATTTCCATGCACAGCTTTATAAACAAAGGATGACTAAAAAAACTGAAAATCAAATACAGGTCTGGAGCCTTGAAGATAGCAGAAGACAAGCAGCCTGCCAAGTTAAATGTAAGGTGTAACATTTCCATTCCCTTGATAGTGTCCTTCTCTCCTCCACTACTCCCTACTTGAAACACAAGTGTTCTGGAAACTGTAGATCCCACTGTGGGTGTAGGTAGGCGCACACCCCAGTTCAAAACAGGAAATTGTGAGGATGCAACTCTTCCTATTACAGCTAGCATGTTATTTGGCTAATTGCCAGGTGACTCCTTAGAGACTTCCACAGGTCACATTTCTTTTAAAAAAGTTCTTATCTGTGTTAACAACACTCCAGCGGTCCACCTTATTCGGGTGCATCACAGAACTCAACGTCCACCATGGCTTTAAGCCACCTTTGCACCCTCTCTATCCTGGGCTGCTCAGGTGCCCCTGGCATAATTTAGACAGTCCTAATTTACAGTGGCCTTCCCAGGCTGCTTAAAGGGGACAGAGCTGTGGTGAGAACTTCACCCAAATTATTAGAAGTGAAAGAATTTTAAAATCCAGTCAGCTTCTCAAATTGCATCTATAACTACCTAGCAGTCATCCGTTGAGCACTCTGTTAGCTCTCTATTGAACTGCACTTTCATGTTATTGATTCCACTATGAGTAATGGCACGGCATATCCTGGCAGGTGATTATATCAGGTAGGCAGGGAGCACTAGGTTTGCCTGTTTCTCTTTCAAATTGTTAACTAGGCTGTTTGCACTGGTAGATGCCAATAGGAAGAGCTGTGTACACTTATACAGACCTACATGTGTGGTTGCAGTATAGTTAGCCTTTTGTAGCTTATAATGATGTTAATAATATCCCTTCTCACTCCAGGTCTTGTGGAGGTGGAGGAAGGAGAGGTGAACGGACAGGAGCTGTCTATAGCTTCTCACTCTATAGCCAGGATCTCCTTTGCCAAGAAGCCCCATGTGGAGCAGGTGAGTGTCCTGGGGTTTGACACAACCATTCAGTTAGCTGTGATGAGTACCTGCCCAACATCGCATCGCCCCAGAGACGGCCAGTTAAGGAGATGCATTGAAAAACATCCTTTTAATCAAACAAACAAAAAAATCCACACACAAACTTTAAGATGTTCACAGAAATACTTCAGTCTCTTTCCTCTCTCATTTCCTCTGTAGTCTTCAGACGGTATTTATTTTTTCCCGTTGCTTTTAGGACATCAATAAGGCAGAGGAACTTCTGCCACTGAGGCATATCCCTACTGTGAGAAAAATGGCCCTGGAATCTTTGATCTCCAGGCAGAGCAGACAGGGTCTGTTTTGAAACTCTTATCTAAGAGACCCCAACATCATAAAATGCATGATAGTCAGTGTATCTGCCTTGAAATTGTAAGAGCTGAGTGGACCTAGAATTAGGTTTGTTTTTTTTATTGCTGGTCTCTGTGATGTGAGAGTACACAAATGAGATATATTGGCACCAGATTTCCTTAGGGTGTTTAGTAGAGCTGCACTGGCACTCTGTAGAGAAGTCTAAGTGCTTTGTTTGTGATCCACAACTTTTTCATTTCAGGTTCTGCTCTCTTTCACTTGGGCTTTAGGGTTCCAATCCTTGGTAGACTATTCCCTTCATTGCTCCTCAAATAAAGCTGTGAAACTTTAGTTTACTTTCAATTAATACATTTTGGTACTGGGATGGGCCAAATTATGTACCTGGACAAACAAACAACTCTCATGTGGGACAACTGGGAGTTGTGGAAGTCCCTGAATGAGCCCTGGTTCTGTATTTATGAAATTTTCCAATGGGCTTCGGATCATGCCCATTATGTGTCAATAGGATTCTCTCTCGACTTCAGTGGGCTTTGGATCAGACCCACAGAGACATGCACACAAACAATATACATAGAACACTAGCTACATTTAAAAACAAAAACCAACATTTTCCAAAGTAACCTTGCATCTAATAAACCTAGATCAGTGTTGTGATGGGTTCCCCCCGGGAGCTTGCATCTAATGAATCTAGATCAGGGTTGTGCCATCTGGAACTGGGGTACCACTGACCCTGACCCACAAGTCTGGGCTACCTTTACACTTTACTGCTATGACAGGCCCTCAAGCCCCTACCAGCACACATGCAGATAGGGACACACCCAGCTGCAGCTACATACAGATGCTGAGATCAGCTCTGCATGGGAAGGCTTCAGCTAAGGAACTGCCCAGCTACTCAAGTGCACACCCCCCTCTGGAGGGTAAATCCAAAATTATACCGTCTTGTGCTGCACAGGGAACTGTACATCGTAAGCTCATGAAATTCACCCCCTCTCTCAATATGGAGAGGAATATACACAACTTTCTGCCTCAAGTTATGACTCCCACACACACTGGTTTTAAACAAAACAAAAATAAATTTATTAACTACAAAAGGTAGATTTTAAGTGATTATAAGATTTTAAGTGATTATAGGGGATAGCAAACAGATCAAAGCAGCAAGTTACCTAGCAAGTAAACAAAAATGCAATCTAAGCTTAATATACTAAAAAGATTGGATATGAGTAGCAAATTCTCACCCTAAATGATGATTTAAGCCAGCTGCATGCTCTTAAGGGGCAAGCTGCACTTGCTTGCAGCTTAAAACCCCAGGTATTCCTTTCACAGGCTAGAAACCCCCCTAGCCTGGGTCCAGCACTCCCCCCCACCCCCAGTTCAGTCCTTGTTCCTCAGGTGTTTCCAAGAATCTTCTTTAGGTGGGGAATCAGTGAAGAACCAAAATGTCACTCCCCTGCCTTAAAAGCTTTTGCATATGGTGTGAACTCTTTTTCTCCAAGCTTGGTTCCCACATCTTTCAGTGGAAAAACACTGGTATTCCGAGATGGAGTCCAGTACCATGTGGTCACATGCCCCCATAGTGTCATAACAGCCATGTTTGTAGTGTCCTCAGGAAGGCTCCCTGGGAAGGCTCCGGGGTGGGAGATTAGCTTCTTCTAGGACCCATTGTTCTCCCTAATGGTCCATTGATTGCATTTCCAGCCAGCCATTTTGCCTAGTGGGCATTTCCCAGGGGTAAACGCATTTGTAATAGATACATAGACAATATTCCTAACTTCAGATACCAAAATGATACATGCATACGAATAGGGTAATTATATTCACTAAATCATAACTTTTTCAATGATATCTCACATGACTTGTCTTGTATAAAATACATCATAGTTATGCCATAATCATATCATAATATCTCTATGAAGAATATGGGATGCAGTGTCATGGTGTGGACCACATTTTAGTTGAGAGATTGTGTGACTGTGAATAAGAGGGGGTGAAGATATTGCCAGCTTCCTTTCCCTCCTACACATTATAAATTATTAGTGCAATGAGGAGACTGAATGCCTGTAGAAACACCTAGGAAGGAGGAAGAAGAAAAACCAGCATCATGTGACTGGAGCTTATAGTTTGGGAACCACTGTAAATGTTCCTTGGCTCTTCAGTGCCATCTTTGGTGCTCCCACCAAATCAGAACCACAGACAGTAAAATGTTTAATGCAAATGGTTTTTCCAGATAAAGGCATTATGTTACTTGGGGAAATGTTTTTTTAGGGAAACTCTGGCTCCAAAATGAATGTAAGGCCCTGTCTATGCTTGAAACAGTGTTGAGGAACAGTTATTATGCAGTTATACCACCAGAAAGTTAAAACATGGATCCATTTTGTAGGATCTGTGCAATCTACCTATATTTTAAGGATCATACTTAAGACACATCGTTAAGGTTGATTCCCCCCGCTGGCACTTTGAGTGTAGAAGTTGGGGTCCTGCAAGGATTTTAAAAATGAATACTGGCCGCTCCAGGCTTGTATTAAACTCCCAAGGTTACAGCTTTTTTCTGACCTTGGATGGGTAGATGCTGCCACCACCCAAGTGCAAAAACCCCTTTGAGAACCCAGGAAGGCGCACTTGGGAATTTCTTCCTGTGCGGTACCCTTAAGCCCTTTCACCCTGATAAAGAAAACAAAAGAAATTAGCTGTTGCCACCAGCTAATTAAACATTTAGCTGCTGCACAATCCTGTCTCTGTTCCTCTGTGTTCTGTATAAGGCAGATAACAAGCAGCCTCCCCTATGACTTGAAGAGTGTGACAAAGCAGGAAAAAGTTTGCCCTTACGGTTCCTCTGGCTGTTCTAATAGGTTTGCAGTAACAAACATTTTGGGAAGTTGTGGCTTCAGTTGTCTGTGTGGGTATTTGGCAGGAAAAGTCCCAATTGCAGAATACCACGGGTGGGGGCACTATTCACAGGTCATTTATTCTGTCAGAGCCTTACCTATGCTTCACATCTCAGATTAAAGGAGATTAGAAGGAACAGTAAACAGAAAGAGGACAAGCAGTCCTGGGAAATAATTCTTCAGTACAGTGCCTAGCTCTGCACTTTGCTGCCATGCTCAGTTAGGGTCTGTCTTCACTGCAGAGTTCCCAGGCTCTTACTCCGGTGTTGGCCCTAACCCCCTTCCCATCTACACATACAACCCTCTCATTCAACTTTAGTGGTGCTTTCACGCCAGGCTAACTGGCCTGGCAGGGCGGGGTATGGGTTAGAGCGCAGGTTCAACTTGGCCTAGTAATCTGCCACTTTGCAGTGTGGACACAAGCTAAATCACTTGGGCGCTCTTAGTTCTCCAGTGCTTTCCTTCTGAGCGCCTGGGGGAACTCTGAGAAAGGCAAGTTCTCCCACAATTCGCTGGGAAAGAATCATAGAGCAGCTCAGCTCACTACAGCACAAAGAACCAAGAGATGTGCCCCCAGAAGTCCTAGCCACAGCACCATGAGTACAGCACCAGTGAGGACCCAGTAATAGGGGTGTGGCTTTGCAGTGTGGCTGCTCACATCCAGGCTTGACTAACCCGAGTGTGGATCATTGGTATAACAGTGCAGAGAAGGTATACCCAAAGCATGAGACCAGAGCAGAAACTGACTAGGGAACAAAGCTCAAACCACTGAGATCTCTTATGTCATAGGCCAGGCACTACAGCAAGGAGGCTTGGAACTGCCAGAATGATAGCTGGCCCTGCTGTGTGAGGAAGCTTAGACTGCAGGATATATGGTACTGTGACTTGGGCTGTGCTGTGAGGGAACTCTCTGCCAAAGCCCTAGAGCTGGAGTTAATAGGACACTGCTGTGAGGAAGCTTACACTGCTGGAGTTAGTGCTGGCATATTGAGGGCACAGCAGGAGCCCTAACTGCTATTTGTGAAGTCGCAGTTGCAGAGTAACAGCAAGAAGCAAACCTAAAAACTGTCCAAAAATAATAAAAGGTACCAATCCAGTCTTGCATGTATTTTACTGTGAGCTATTGAATATTAAAGTTTAATTACTTCAGTATCTAAAATGTTTGAGATTGGAGGTGATGCACGTGAAATGGAGCTCATGTAGCACAGATCTCTGGGGGGATCACTGCTTCTGGGCCACTCTCCTATCCCGTAGGCCTGGTACACCTAAAAATTAGATGGTTCTAGCTACATTGTACAGGGCTGTGAACATGTCATGCCCTGTGCAACAGAGTTAGTTCAACCTAGCCTTCACTGTAGATGCAGCTCGGTCAACGGAAGAATTCTTCCATTGATCTAGCTACTGCCTCTCGGAGGGGTGGATTACCTACACAAACAGAAATCCACTTTCTTCAACATAGGAAACACCTCTACAACAGCTGCTGTATCACAGTTGCAGTGCCATATCTGTGCTGCTATAGCTACTTTAGTGTAGACATAGCCCTAGACACAAGATAACGGGAAGCAGGGTTGGAGACTTCCAGTAGCCCACTCCCACTTCCAAAACCAAGATTGTTCATGGGAGGCTGCTAATGCTTCTCCCACGTGCTGCCCCCCAACACCCATAGATGTGACAAACGACTCCACACGAAATAAATGTCTTTTGTCGTAGACCTACCCACAACCCACTGCCACATGTACTCTTTTTATGTGAGGCAACCAGCCTTCA